ATACAGTTGTTGCTCTTTTTCCTGCTTTAACCACACACCATGCTTTGGTCAGGATAAACAGAAACATGACACTATAGATGGATTTCAAGTGTTGGCTGCAACATGATTAAGTTCAGTATTAAAATGGGGAAGTTGGTAGTTTCAAGGGTGGAGGAATCAAGTAATAATTCATTCTAGTTATGAGCTAAATGGCCTTACATGAAACAATGAAAAAGTGAAGGTTAACACCCTTAGCCAAACCCTTGCTTCTCAATTGATTCAACCCTAAGCTGAATTTCTCAAAACATATGAGGGTATAGAGGTGGTGCAGCTCAGTTGGCAAAATCTTAAGCTGTTTTCTTTCTTTCTGGGTTAATAGGACAGAAAGGGTTCACAGGAGCCAGCTGGCCAGTGAGGGGCTAAGGGAGCTAGAGCACAATTCCCACCAAAATAAAGAATATAGGAAGATGATGAGCATTGGAGCAGAGGAGACCCTTTCCCTTTTTTAAAGCAGGACTTGAGAGTTACTGGTGGAGAGAGGAAGAGGATATAGACTCAATGCAAATGCTAGTTATTGATAATGGGCCAGGTACTTTAGACCAGTGGTTTTCAACCTTTCTTCATTTGCAGACCCCTTTGAATTGTAGGTGTGGGTATTCACATGCTTTTGATTGATCGTAGTCATCTTTCACAGACCCCCGGAAAACCACTATCAAAGTGTGTTCAGCTGACATTTTTGTCCCATTTTCAAAAAAATATTAAAAGCAAAAGGACTGTTCAAGTGCTATCATGCCTTTTAGCCAGTGTGTTGTCATGTGCCACTCTGTTCAATGCAGGCAGATTTCCAGTACAATTACATGGTCTAGTTCCTGCTGGTAAGCATGAAGGAAGGTGAACATTTCTAGCAACTGTTAAATGAAACTGTACAGTGTTCACTACATTGTCTTTTCTGTGTCACTCTCTCACTTCCCATTTACCTCTTCATTAAATGCATGGCTGAGTTTTGTTCTGCTCTGGATTACATTTCATGCTAATTGTTTGATGAACTAATGAACATATTTGCAACTTGAAGCTTCAGCTTGCTGTCACTTACTCCACCCTGGCCAGTGGCAAGAAACTCAAAGCAATTTGGCAGCTATAGTGGGGGAGGAGTAGGGTTTGGCAAGCTGGAGGGTAACTGCGTGCGCTATTCCTACTACAGTGGGCGTAGGAAATACTGGGATGTCCCAAGAGCAAGGAACTTCAGGGGTTGGTGGTTGTAGGTAGGCCCTGGGTTCATGTGTGGTATGTGGGTGCGGAGACATCTGGCCAAGGAGGCAGGCTCTTCTGGAAGAACTAGTGTAGCTAGCTACAGAGAAACAGAAGTAGGGAGAGCCTGGGGCTTGTACTGATACCAGTACAAGGTTATCTCTCCCAGATAATTGTTTTTGCTCCTAACCCAGCTGGGAGAGCAGAGAGAAGATGCTGTAGCTGCCTCCTTAACAGGTGCCACAGTAGACTTCAGCTTCCAGAAGGCAGAAATGAAAATGCTTGTAGTATTGCAACATCTCAGCTGATTTGTAGGAATGCATGACAGAACTATCCATTGCACAATTGTTGCATTAGATGTATTGTAGTTAAGCATTTCACTGTATTACAGGTTTGCTGTCAGTCCAAGTATAGTGTCCTTAGCATCCAGCCATAGCAATGCTGTGTGTCCTAGCTGATAACTCCTTTCCCCTAGCCTCCATTGTCACCTCATTTAACACACTCCCCATCTACTATAACTGCCTCATTATCATCACATACATAAAATGTGTTCAGAACATGACAAAAGCAAAAAAAATAAATCGCCATCCTGGCCACAGTCATGTACGTGCAAAATACAAGTCATTTCCCCATGAATTATCTTTTATACTCTCTAATGCTTCCTCTCGTCTGCCAGATCCATCATCTACATTGAAATGACCTCTTTCTAATAGATGTCACGTAAAACACCAAGAATGTGTGTACTGTAGAACTAAGAAGGAGTTTTAAGGATTAAGCACTAGTGATAATTCTGCACAGCAATGAATTCAAGAAAAACAGATTAGTAATTCCATCTCTTCCTCAAATTAGCAGTGCATTATGTAGGTTGCTTCTGTACATTGTGTTACTCCAAGAAAGTATCCTTAAGGTATGGGTACATTTCCCTAATCTAGATGAAATTGTAAGTACCCAATTTGAATTTTGTTTAGGGTATGGCAGTTAATATTTTTCACCCTTTTTTGAAATTCCCACAAGATATTAAAGAATTGCAAGACTTATATTTTATGTCTCATCAAGAACATTTCCTGTTCTATATCCTGCTGATTTATACTGTCACACCGTGCAGTTAAATTAAGACTCAGCGGGAAGAAGTACATCCTATTGAGAGTCTTCACTGTCATTGTGTCATATACTTAGGTGGGGTTTTTTTCTTGTTGTTTGCTTGCTTGGTTGCTTTTCTGATTTTCCTTTTGTGCAGCTGAGCATACCCAGTTGGATATGGGAAGCTGTGATTAAAGTAAAAAGCCTCTTACGAGACAATTTTCTGTTCAGGCCCCTGAGCTTGTAACTTAGTGACAGAAAATCTATAACTGAATAATGGATCTCTTGAGTTCTCATTGAATTAGTCAACAAATTGTATATTGAAGGACAAGTACAAAGCTTGGCTAAATTGGTGGCGCCACTTTAGATTTTAGATTCTGCATAATTATAGTCTAGGGGTCAGCAATGTTTTTGGGCAGAGTGCCAATAACACCTGTAACCTCTACTTGGAAGATGTTGGTGTGCCAGGGGTGGATGGCAGGGGAGACATGAGGTGCCTGGTCCTTGTTGTGGCAGCAAAGCCCAGGCCCCTTTCCTGCCATCTGCCCTGAAGTGTGCATGCACCTGCCACCAGCAACGAGTCAGGTTGGGGCTCTGCAGACCCTTGTGGAGTTGCTTGCAGACTTCCCATCGCCTGCTGTGAGCCGCCCAGGCTCGGTGGCAAGGGCCTCCCCAGATCCCGGGCCAGCTGTGGCAAGTGGCTGGCAGGTGCAAGCAGTGACACTGGTGTCTGCGTGGCCCTGGCCCGACTCATTGCCAGCAGTGGATGGACATGTGTTTCGGGGCGGACAGCAGGGATGGGATCCAGGCTGCACTGCCATAACAGGGATTGGGCCCCTCATGACTCTTCTGCCATCCACCCTAGGTGCACATGCATCCACCACCAGCAACAAGCTAGGCTATGGCTCTGTGGACCCTGGGGCAGTTGCTTGTAGCTTCCCAGCTGCCTGCCACAGCTGGCTTGGGCTCTGGGCAGGCCCCTGTTGCCTGCCACAGGTCCTGGGCTCCTCATGGCAGGTGTCAAGGAGGCTGCAAACAGCTGTACCAGGGTTTGGAGAGTGCCAGCCCAGTTCGTTGCCAGCAGCGGGTGTATGTGTGCCTCCAGGTGGACAGTGGGGGAGGTGCAAGGGGCCCAAACCTTGTTGTGGCAGTGCAACCCCAGCCCCTTCCTCGCCATCTGCCCTGAGGTACGCATGTCAAGCAAAATGCCTTTGCATGCATCCTGTGGCATGTGCGGCAAGGGTTGCGGACCCCTGCTATATCTAGTGTCAACTATTTATTCCAACCTAATAAAAGCGAAAATCTGATTTGGCATTAAGAAGTGACGGGCTTTGTTTTGATAGCACGAGACAATGTTAGCTTTCCTCTTTAGAGCCTTGATAATGTTATGTTAGTACATTGTTATTGACTGGCATTGCAGAGGACATACATTCTTAGAAAATAATACCAGAACTGAGCTGTTTGTTGCTTTTAATAAGAAAAGATTTAGGTGACTAAATTGATGAAGCTTGTTTAGATTATTGATTATGAAAAAAACTAATCGATCAGCAATATAAAACATATTTTATCTATTCTTGGTCTATTGCAGGGTTGCTATGATTTAATAGAGCAAGCTCAAAATATCTATTTAATGCTGTGATATTTATAGTCTACTCGCTTGCAACAAGTAAACCAATAAAAAAAATTCAAACATTTCATCAGTATCTTGAAAACTAGTTTATCTCATTTTGAACAAAGCATTCCAGAAGGTCATAAAAACAAGGAAATATTGTATTAAAGGGACCCTTGCGTATCCATATGGTCACGAACTTTGTCTCATCTTTATAGTATTTTTTTTTTTTTTTTTTTTTGCAACTGGAATATTAGAGTTTTGTTGCCAAGTGAACAGAATTAATAAGCATGCTGGGAGTTTTATTCACAACTTAACATGGGTACCTAAAAACCTTTTATGTGAAAATGTAATATAAAAATATGTAAATGCATGTTATTGATTAAGACAAACACTGATAAAGGATATATAGAATCCCATTTTCTGCACAAGGATGATTTTGTGGGGAGGCAGGTACTGCTGTTTTGGGTTGATTTGTTTTTAAAGAGATGTACCATTTCGGTATTTTCTTCCTGAATAGATGATCCACCATTCACAGTGTTGCCAACCCCAGATATTCAAATATTGTGGTTCAGGCCTCCAAAATAGTGAAATTAAAAAAAATGTATGTTGTAGTCTTCAAGCTTTTCTCCACAAGCCTGAGAACTGGGGACTCTGTGCAGTGAAATATGAGGTGCTTCTGTACTCGGATGAATCTAGGAGGCAGGGCTACATGAATTGCCTAGCTCAAAGCAAAAATTGCAGAAATCGTCAACCCTGTTCTATGATTTCCGATGCCAAGACCAGACAGGATATCAGCTTAACTGTTCACAGTGAAATGTGAGCCATGGGTTATGTTGGTTTCCTGTCTCCTCCCTTGAACTCTCATATTCCTTAAGAACCAGTTTACCAAACTAGAAACCCATATTTCATTGAGGGCACATATCCTCTAGTTGTCTTAATGTCACTGTTTTGGTGAAATAGTCAACTGTCAAATATCACTTTGAAGACTTCTTCATTTAAAGTCATGGATTTATTAGAAAATCCAGCAAAAATGCACATCAAGTTATATTACAATGATGTTCTGTGTTTTTTTTCATTTCAGATCTCATTAATGGAGCCCAAGAACAGTGTGAATTGCCTCCTATGGATGGTTTTCCTCACTGTGAAGGCAAAATAAAGGTAAAGGTGATCACATTGTACATATTCTCTTTTCTTTTCTTTTTTTTTAAATCTGGTCTGTGTTCAAAACATATATGTGCTAAAACAAGTGCTGTTTCGTAAAATATAAATTAGTGAGGGGGACCAGAAGACAAGTACTGAAGAACTTGTCATTACAGCTCCTCACCTCAAGCCAAGATAGGACTGCTGCTGAAAGAAAATGAATAATGATGCCTCTTGTTAAAGCATTGCATAAAATACGATAGCCCCATAGTACTTGGGTAGCTTTTTTTATCTAGTTCTTTCTTCCTGCCGGCAGCTGTGTCTCTTCCATTTCCATTACCTATATTCCCACCTCTCCTGCACCAGGGGTTCTGTTGCCTCTTCCATTTAAACCGGCTCTTTAGTCCCTTCTCCTCACTCCACCATGCCAAGGTCCCCCAACCCTATGCGTCTTCTTTCCTCCTATGTGAGGGGCACTGTGTATTTATCCCCCATGCCTTCTCTTTCTCTCCAACATTTTTTTCCTCTTTGGAGATAAAAAGAATATCACAAGAATAAAAGCAAGGATTAGACTGAATATTTTTATGTTGAAGTTTATTAATGAGTGCCATCAAATTGGTTTTTACTGTATGTACAGTTCCATGTGTATTTAAAGCTCTCACTGTGCTAATCAGATGTCAGAAGCTCCAGGTGTCCCTGTTTTTTAGTTTTGTGGGGAATGAGGAGTTGTTTCTCTGATTTTTAGGTGTTCCTTATATTCAGTAGGCTTTGGTCCGCATTCCCAGCAGGTCTGGAAATTCGCAATGGTTTATTGTATTAGAGAGATACAAAAATGTCATTGAATCAAGTGTGAGGCTTTTGCAAGGCTGACTGATGACTACATGCTGGAAGAGCTTAGCAAATATTTCTGTCCCAGTCATACAAAACAAACGTCTGTGAATAATTTTATAAATAATCCAATTGCATTTGGCCTTAGGTTTTAAGACCACAGTCATCCCTGTAGAAATTATATATAATGCTAATAAGGAAGTTTGAATCAACAAATATAAAATAATGTTGGTTTATCTTTAAAACAAAAAGCAGAAGATCCATAAGATTAGAAAGTCTGGAGATATTTAGATTTTTAAAAATAAGAATGTGCATTAGTAATTGCATCCAGGCACTCCAGTTGTTTGACACTTCATCAAAGTAGGAGGATGTATTTCTAACATTGAGATATATTTCTGCAACTGCTTAGAATCTTTTATTATTATTATTATTATTATTATTATTGTGTTACTTGGTATCTGAGATTTTTAATTTTTTTCTACAAAATTACAATATTTGCTTATTTTGACATCTCTTTATATGCTGTTTTTGTTTTGTTTTGGGTTTTTTAAAATAAATTTCCAGCTCTGCTTTGAACAATTTCACTACAGTGCAAAATGGCTATGTAATCTGAATGGCAAGTTGCTCATTTATCTTTTTTAAAGAACTTTTTTTGCTTGAGTAAAGATGTCAGACTGACAGTCCTAGGAACTTAAGCGATCCATTTAACCACAAAACAAATATAATCTATAAAGGCAATGTAAGCAGCATTAGCCCTAACAATGTGCTGCATTGCTGGTCTGGAGAGGATATTCCAATATCCATTTAGTTCTTATCTGGCTACCAGTTAGTGCTAATTGTGTTCATCCATAGTGATGTGGTTAATTAGGAGCTTGAATGAGACGATGAATATGCTTCATGTCGGCTGTTGCAAAGTGTTCACAGACTAGTTCTTACCTGTCATTATTTATTTCAGTCTAAAAGCTTAGAGTTTTCTGCTTACTGTGTTTCTCATGACAATGAGGCTTTATAAAGTGAAAATAAGTACATGTGGCTTAAATCTAACAAACTTGCTTCCTTTGTTTCAGTGGATGAAAGATATGTGGCGATCGGATCCATGTTATGCAAGCTACGGTGTGGATGGGTCCACGTGCTCCTTTTTTATTTACCTCAGTGAGGTCAGTAAGTCTTTCTTGAACTGCATGTGGTTCTGGTAGGAGGACATCAAAATGCCTTAAATATTCATGGAAAATTACTTGTCCGGTTTATATTAGGAAAATTAAGCAAAGCTCTTTGATAGGAGTTTTAATGAGACAAGACAGTACCTATTTTAAATGCTAATTTTGAAAAGCGTTTCCAACTGAGACGGATTTTTTAGTGTAGGCAGAAGCCCGTATGTGAAGACTTTGGCCTTCGTCGCTGTTATGTTCTGTAGATGTCCTTTTTTGATAAAATCTATCTGGTTGCTGGTAACGGTTCTCTGATTCCAAGTAGCTAGGTGGTGATGGAGTGAAAACTTCCAGAAATAAGTTAGGAATGAAATACTATATTTATTTGCATACCACCCCCTTCCCCCCAATAAGACATGCCCCTTGTTTTGAAAAGTTTTTTCCAGAATCTTTCCTGCCCCATCATGGGCTCACCATGGCTGACCATTGACTGCATGGAGCAAGTGGGGGTCCACTTATCAGTATAACTCACTGTCCACCTGTAGCTCCACATGGCCAGGCCCTCAACGGGGTACTCGGTCACCTAGCGTCACTTCTGGTTTCACTGCTGGCATTTCCAGGCTTGGCAATCCGTCACTGGGGGATCCCTGCCCCCCCCCCCCGGACTCGGCGGGCTTGGATGCAAATGTAAGTATTGGCCCCTGGGTGCGGGAGACCCACACTACATCACTGTTTCCACAGCTAGAGGTTTAACCCTCTCTGTCTCTACTGAACTGGCAGCAACTTTTGGCTGCTCAGCCAAAAGCTACTGCCAATTTGTTGGTGACTGAGAGAGTTAAACCTCTAGCTATGGAGCTGCAATGAAAAGGTAAGGGATGGCAATGAGTGGACTTTGCCCTTGCTCCATGCAATGGGGAGCCAAGCACAGCCCCCAACAACTATTCCAGCATCCCCATGCCTCCATTCCTTGATAATGACTTGCACCCCAATTTTGGATTTTTTTTCCCATTAAAAATGTGTGTGGGGTATGTGAGTAAATATGGTAGACATTGGTGTTTTTTGCTTAAGGAATCAGTGCCCTCCTCCTATGTAGTAGGGCCAATGCAGTAGGTTCCAATGTACTAGGCTTGTTTCTCTTGTGAGTGTTTTTTCTGGCTTGCTTGATGTTTTCTTTGTTTTTCCTCCTTCTCTGAATATATCATATGTCTTTGTCTTCTGTTTTTTGTGCCTTCAGCTTCCCCCTTTCTCCCACATTACCACCAGTGTATGGTTGTTTTGCTGCTGAAGGCCAGGTATTATTTGTTGTTGAAAACACAGTTTAAACACTTAGATTCTGTTTTCTGCTGTCACCTACTACTGGGCAAATCTCTTGACTTCACATGCCCCATCTGTAAAATAGGAGTGATGGTATTTGCCTACCTCTGACAGGAATTGTGAGGTTTGCAGATGCTTGTAAAGAGCTTTTGGATTGCAAAGCAATGCTATTGGTATGGCGGCTGTAAAGTTAGTTCATTCTGTTTATGTAGCACCATAACTCTTATTAGAGAGAGAGAGACATAAAATGAAAAATAAGATTCCCCAATCCCCAATTTTCCATTTGATAAGATAGATGCACGTACAGCCAAAATGGTAGAAGTAGTAACAAGGATTCATTGAGTAAGGAATGTCCTAATGCCCTTCAATTAGTATGTGTTGCTTTCCATTGCAATTACTGCAGCTTAAGAGGTAAAGTGATTGTTTTTTTAAAAGGAATTAGGATATTTAAAATATTTTATTTCAAATGACATTTTGGGCAGCACTGCTGAATTAGCATGACTGTGCTTTGTGATTGAACAAGTGAACAAAATGAGCAATTCTTTACTCATCAATTTGTCTTTATATTTAGGGAACAGCAGACAAGTCTTTGCTTTTTAGAGTTCTCCCTTGACAGTATGCAAAACTAATATTGGTTGAACATATTATTAACCTTGAGTTTAAATTCAACATACTTAATCCTGTGATTAATGCTATGATTAATGCCCACCAGCAAAGGTTGAAAGCTTAAATGTTTGTGAATGCAAGCATGAAATGAAATTCGAATAATGACTACAATGATGTGGATTTATGAGGTGTGTTGGCTACTAAAGATAACTTAGAAATGGTGTTGCACATAGTAATTTGTCAAAGCGGGCAATGATGGAGAATTGACTGTTTATAGCGGGTGAAAAGCTGAATGATAATTTTTTCTACAAAAACTGAGTTGTGGGTAAGGAGATGAGTGGCTGGCTTAAAACCATTATTGTGAGGAAATTGTAGGTTTTTAAGATTCGCAGTTCCTCTTGGGATTATTGTATAGGAATATAGTTGGTTGTGCACGCATACACACACGCGTGCACACAAATATATTTTAAATGAAAAAAGTAAGTCTTCATAATAGAGAGAGTGAGTGAGAAGGGTGTGGGCCACCCTTATTATACCAACAGTGTGGCATACACCTATTTTATCTTTTAAATCTCACCTCAACATGCATGACTGCCTTTCCTGAAGTACTTCACTAATTAATAAAATACTTTGTGCTTATCTCACACTCTATCTGTAAGTTTCAAAGTTGAGAAAGGAGCCCAAATACCATATCATGTCCTTCATTTCAGAGAAGGCCATCTCATAGGACTGTGCTTTTCTTGAATACCACCTCTATCTCTGTCCCTGGACTTTGTGAAGGGCTAGATCATGGAGAAATGACCCATTTGAGCAGACTTAATCAGGATAGCACAAATGCTGCTCTGAATGCAGCCTTCAGGTAGATCAGATCCTATTCCTTCCCACATTGGCCAAACGAAGAAAAGGTTAGAAATAAACTTATTCAGGTTAAACGAACATTGAAAATTAAGATTCTAGGGGACTTAACATGTCTATTATTTTACAACAAAAGTTTGCCCTTTTAAAAAAAGACTTGCTGCTAAAATATAATTTTTTTCATTACATGCTTTTGGTGCAACAGCAAATTGCTCAAAACACTGAAACTTCACCATTTAGTGCCACCAATGCAGGCTGTGGTTTGTAGGGATGACTTTGCCTCTGGGAATATTCTGTCTGTAGACATTCATGATTTATTCAGTAGAGAAACTGCACTTTATTTTAAAATGACAGTTTATAGCAGAAAATGGAGGATTTAAAGAACAAAACTAATATTCTGTCTTTTGATTTTTTTTTTTTATTATTATTGCCCAGTGAGATGTTTATCTTCACTCAGCTCCTTTTTTAATTTAATAACTTTTTCTGTGGGCCACTAATTGCTGTGCTGAAGCAGCATGTTTACTGTATTTGCTTGTGGCTGTGAGATAAGAGTGGTATCACAGGTCTGGCCAAGCTCCCTCTTCTAGGCGCTGCCCAGACTTTTGTGAGTGGATCGAGAAAGCAAATTTCATGTGTCCTTACCTTGCTGGAGTGGAGTTCAGGCCAACAGAGGTCAAGATCACAAATGAGGTTGCAGCACTCAATAGTGAAGTCATCAGCCATACAGAAATGCGGTTATATTGGGCAGGCTTGCCAAGTGCAAACATGAGGAGCTGCTGGTGTAAGCATTGCTGTCTCGGTTCACTCTTCTGGTGCAGACCTCATGGCTGGCAAGTCCACTGGGTTGTAGGGACCTCACCAACATCATAAAACCTAGAATCCCATTGAAGGTATGGGCCTTTTGGTTTACAGTCGGTGATGCATGATAGATCCTGGGGAAGATGCTCAGATGTTTGGGAAACGTGACTTACGAGGAAAGTCTGAAAGAACTAAAATCATTTCCTCTGGGGAAGACTGAGGGAGGGGAATTGATGAGTCTTCAAACACAATATATATGAAAGGTGATTATAAAGAAAATGGAGATAGATATTTTTCTGTGGTTGTAGGGAACAGGACTGGGAGCAATGGCCTCAAAGTGCAGCACAAATTTAGGTTGGGGATTAAAGAGGAATTTTCTGGGAAAGCTGGTCAGGCATTGGAACAGGCTCCTTAGAGAGGGGCTGTGCAATCTCCATCCCTGAAAAATGTCAAGAGCAGGTTAGACAGACACTTGGCTGGAATGGTTTGGTCAGGGCTGATCCTGCCTTGAACAGAGAGCTCAACTAGCTGACCTTGTGAGGTCCTTTTCAGCCCTACTTTTCCTATTATCCTTTGATAGGTATAACACAGCACATATACACAGCCAGGTTTGTATGGGATGTGATTGCTCTTTAAGAATACAATTCCTTTTAAGGGAGAAAACATGCAAGAACATAGATCATTGAGAAAGGAGTCCTAAGTGCAGCTCCTTTTCCTTTTGAGCTTCCTTCGCTTAGAAGTTCTCGCATGTGCATTCAACTTAGGCAGGTTCCTCTACCTCAGCAGGCTCCTTGCAGTATGAGCCTTCAGCTTGAGCTGATGAAAGTTGCTGAAGACCCAGCATGGAACAGCTGCTGTCCTAAAACCTTCCAATCTCAAATCAGCCTCACCAGATGATCATCAGACCCTACAAAGGACCTATTTTGTGAAGTGACCTCTTCCCTAATAAACTAATTTCTGCACTACTGCCCAGCCAGTTTTCTTTAGTGGCTTCCATTTCATTTCAGAGTTTTTAAGCTACTGTTTCTTGTTACCTCTGTGCTACTAACCCTTGGAATTCTAGTCCGGCATAGAGGCAAGAACACAGATAAAGCCCCATATGCAAAATGGGGGGAGGACATTAAGTGCACCTTTGAAACAATGTTTTGCTGCATTGGAAGCCAACTTGTAGTTTTGAGGTGATTTACATATCTTCCTAGATGTAATGCAAGGTCAAAACAACATTAAAGAAAAGTATGATGTTATTCAAAACCAAATCTGAGAAAATAGTTTTCTGGTAGGGGACATTAGGCTTGAGCCACAACTTTTCCATGATCCTGTAACATTTTCCTGGTACGTTCCCATGGAAAAATGAACTGATATACAGAGATACCTGATTTAACTTTGAACTCTGAGCTACTTTAGGTATTGGATATACAATCACTGCACTAGCAAGGTGCTGCACCTGAACTAATATGCTCAGCTTGCCAGCTTGGAAAATGGCTTGGAGGCCCACATGGTGGCCTGTGGGCCGTATGTTGGACAAGCCTACTTTACCCTGTTTCTTTGAGGGTGAGAGCTTGCTAATTTCCATCATTTTGTGATCATGGGCAGGTAATAGTTGTAGCAGCTGATTAATCCTACTCGGTGGAAGCTCCCTCTCCCTTTTAAACTGATTCAAGGTACACTTGTGCATAACTGAAGACAACCCACAACAGCATAACAATGAAGAGAGGAATCTGGAAATAACAGGACACATAATTTAATACAGCTAGCAGTGTGCACAGCCAGATATATTTTTTTCATCACCAAGGGAAAGTACAGGAAGATCACCTTGTATCACACGGTGGCATGTGATGCTAAATAGATAGGCATTTGCAATCTAGTTCAGTTATTATGCTATAAATTCAAGTTAGTGTCTTCTCTAACTTTTAGACTAACCCACTATAAATCACTACATTCCTTTTAAAAGGTTTTCTAATACTTAACTGTAAAGAAATAGCCAAGGAAATAATCTTCACTTAATATTTTTACACTTGTCATATTACTGGAGTTCTAATAACACTTTTAACAAGAAAAATATTCATTTGACATTGATGTTTCAGCACTCAGCCATCCTTATTACTGCACAAATGTGTTAATGTATTGTCGCTTGAGACATCTGTGATAAAAATACATGTTCAACATATTTCCTGTAGGCAGTAAAATTCAACAGCCTGTTAAGACCCATATATAGGAAACATCAGGTCACACATTTTTGTCAATTCTGTGAACTCTTTCCTTTCCATAGTTTAGCAGAAGTTATCTTAACACTTTGCATGTAAACATGTCCTGATTTAATCCCCCTGCCCCCCAAAACCCGAGCGCCTGTATCTCCCATGGAGCTAGGGATCAGGGTAGTGGAATGTGGGGACCTTCTCTAGTGCAGAGGTCAGCAACTTTTTAGGAGCAGTGGGCCGAATTAATGGAGCTCAGGCTAAGGGCGAGCTGCCTCTTTCCCCTGCTGTATTGCTGCCAAATTGCCACCAGTGTCTCCAACCTCCAGATTGCCACCAACATCTTAGCTTCACAAGGCAATCACTTGGCCAGAGCTGGCCCTTGGGGTCTGGGTTGCCAACCCCAGCTTTAGCACATCTTCATTTGTAGAGTGTAATGTTTTTCTTACTTACCAGGCCTTTTCAGACAATTCTGTGGTAGTTTTTCTTTCTTTACACCGCTGTAGAATACCTAGTATGCTCTCACTTCTGCTTTCCAGCTTGCCTACCCCTGCTTTACTGTTTGTGCTTTCTAAAACCAGTTTTCTGCTGAATGGGTTTTGGTCTTCGGTCAGTTGCAGGATTTATTAGTGTCTTTCTAGAGCAGGGGCAGGCAATGTTTTTTGGCTAGAGTGCCAAAAAACACCACAGTGCCTAACTTGGAAGGTGCTAGAGTGCCAGCATGCCAGAAAAACAAAATGAGGGCAGGGGGTACATGGCAGGATGCCCTTGTGCCCCTTGCCTTCTACCTAAAGCCCCTTCTCCCCAGCCCTGCTGCCCCTTGCCCCCTGCAAGCCCTGCTGAGAGCAGCCCTGTCACTGGCAGCAGCTACACAGAGCAAGGGCTGGCCATGGTGTGCCGAGCAAAATGGCTTTGCATGCCATGCTCAGCACGTGTGCTGGGGGTTGCCAACCCCGGTTCTAGAGTTTCTTAGCTCCACTGTCATTCTGGCCAGTAACACTTGTGATCTTGTCGCACTCTGTTCTCCCTCACCTTTGCAGGTCCTGGTTGGTACTAAATCCTGCTGATTCTTTAATTGTCCTTTAAAGTTAATTCCTTTTCCTCCGTACCTACTCCTGACACCTTGCCAAGTGTTTTGGTCATTTTTGCTATTACAACGTTCTCCCTCCTAGCCTTATGCACACTTACAACCTTGTTCCCTGCCAGCCTGCCCAACATGGTATTGATAAAAATAGTTTTCCTTGCTGGCTAGAAGAGTGTAGGCTTGTCAGCCTTCTGTCCCACCCTTCCTTGAATCGGTGCACCTGCACCTCTCTTTCTGGGTCATGGTCACTCTCTTTCTTATTACTCCCAGGCTAGAATGGTCCATGCTTGTCTGTACCCCATTTCTTTAACTTGGTCTTTTGACCCTAAAAAATCAGTTTACCCAGATGAACTCTCTTCCTCCCATAAACTGTTGTGTGTTTCACGCTTTGCACATTCCCCCCACACCAACTGTAAAAATAAATTGGAGGCCTTACTGAAAAAAATGTAGCTTGCTTTAGAATATGATCATATAAATATGAATCTGTGAAGTATCCTGTAATAAACCACAATTCTGAAACTGGACTTAAAAGTCCAGTGATGTCTACCAGGAACTTGTATACAGACAGCAGCTTGGGTCCAGTTCTACAGACTTCACTTTTACAGGTAGTCTTGCAGAAGTACTTCTGAGTACAAGGGAGGTTTTTTTAAAGCACTAATAGCTAGGAGCCTAATTCTAACTGGCTTTCATTGTAGATGGGTAAATGTCCTCTCAAAAATCTTCACCTACTAGCTCAGATAAGATCTCTTGTAATGCAATGTAAGTGTATGCATGGGAGGCCAAAAGGCAGCATCATACAGTAGTCCTGAGAATCTCTCAACCCTTATGCAAGTCTGTTCTAGTGACAAAACACCAGTGTGGTCCCAGAGGTCAAGTCATTTTGCCTGCTTATTTGAACAAAAATAAAAGAGCTCTTTGGCAAAAGCAGGTTGGTTTGCATGTGACTTCGAAAGAATGGAGGGTTTTGCTCTGTTTTTGCTGGTCTTCTCACAGGCAGCCTGTGTTGATTAAAATATTAAGAATTATTCTGTTTTGTATCTTGAGCAAGTGAAGAATCAAGCACTTTAAACATGGGATTTACCACATCATCGCTTTCCAGCTCTTTATTAAAAACATGGAATAGAATAGATGGGTGCAGGCATTCATTTGCATCCTCTGATTATAAATGGTCTGGAGAACCTAACTAGCTGAGGTGTTTCTGTTGTTTAATGAGGTTGGTGTCTGCTCTTTCTCTTTGAGGTGATGGCTTTTTTTTCCTTTGAATATTACTGAGACTGCTCATCACCTACATCTTGGGTTGATTGCTTTCAAAATATGAGTCAGCTAATTATTGCTTTTTGCTATATCTATGAACACAGCGACATGATGGCAGGAATGTTCCCAGACACAGCTCTTAGAAGGATGGTATCCCAGTTTGGCCAGCGTACTCTTGCTCTCTCGCTTTATCTCAAAAATACATATGCATGTGTTTCTTGAGCCCACTTCGCAGTTCCCTCCCTCTCCAGTGAGTCGGTCCTTTAGAAGCCAGTACTAGAGGGGCAGCATTTCTAAATGGAAGAACAAGAAATCACAGGGACATATACATAGTACTGTACTAGTCAACCTTACCAACAGTAGAAATTTAGTGGACATGCACAAAAATATCATGCTAACAGCTACTGTCCTGTTTTTTCCCAGGGTTATAGTCAATTGTTGTGGTTACCTTTCCTTTTTCTTGACCTATATATTTTGTTCTTTTGGTTTGTGAAGTCTACAATTGCTCATGAATTCTTCCCCCCACCCCACTACTCCCTAACAATCTTCTTAGCTTGCAGCATAATTTTTCTTGGTTGCTTAAAGAAAAGCTCAAATCAGCAGAGTGGTTCTGCCATTTTTTAATGAGTCACCCCTTTTATGTGTTGTTTTTTTTTTATTCATATCCTGGGGAATATGTTCCAAACTTTTTACTCATTTTCATCCAAGAAAAAAAAAGGCCAACGATTGAAACGCATTTAAGAATTGTATGTAGAATATAAGTAGAGATTTGAAGACCCAGACTAAACTTTTTCGTAGGATTCATCATCCTTGTATCTAAGTATTGATATTGCTTCCATTTGTTATGCTGAATTAGATTTATGCTGCAAAGAATGCTCCTTTTTCCAGAAGGAGTATTGCAATAAGTGTGTTTGCCTTCCATTCGTGACATCTCGATCAGTTATGGTCCAATTCAAGGCATAACATGAAGGATATAGGAAAATTTGACGCAGACTCCCTGGTTAAAAGCAGAATGAAAGAACTTATTTTCTGCCTGTTGTTTTTGCAGGTTGAAAACTGGTGTCCTCGTTTACCTTGGAGAGCAAAAAATCCTAATGAAGAAACTGATCAAAATTCAATGGTGAGTGGTGGTGTTGGGCATTCCTTAAAATCTGTTTTAATTAAATTGATGAAGCCAGGCATTCACAATTAACAAAGGGGTGCGGGAATAGGGCAGGATGCCTTTAACGGACCTTAGCTCCAAGTATTGACCACTTCCAATGCAGTGTAGCCTGAGTCACTGCTCCCCCCTCACCACCCATAATGCTACCACCACTTCTTGCCAATGGTTGGCCAGAGCCCTTCACCACCACCACGCCATAGAAGCCCCCTGGTTCTGCAAGCTGGAGAAAATGGTTCCACAGGCCATGGCTTCTTTACCCTTGGACCTACTAGCATTGTTGTCCATTTAGAGATCCTAGTTCTACATAAATACCAACAAGAATATTGACCCTATAGTCGATGCTGATTATGTTTCTCTCTTTTCATAAGCTGTTCATTTTGAAATGGCTATTATTGACAGCAAGACAGTTGTGTAAAAACACCATTTCACCCAGTTGTCCTCCATTATATTGCATTAAGTTACAATCTTGGGCCCCAGATATGCAGATGTATGTACTGAATAGAACTGATAAAAACATTAGGGTGATAGCAGTGCTTAAAGTATAGTACATGTGCTAATATTAGTTGGATGGGAACTTTAATGAGGAAAAAAGTTACAAAAATATTGATTATTCACTGATTCCACATAGTCATACAAGATACTGACCATTTTTTTCAATAATTTTATCTGTGCACTATATAAACTTTTAATAATCAGAAGCTCTTGACTCGATCAAAACTAAACTCAACAAATGGTTCATATGCCTGATTACCTGGTATAATTTAGTTTGATGTCAACAATTTTGATCATTTCTAAAATGTTTTTTTTCCTGCATATACCAGAGTTTATAAACATTATAAACTAATTATAATGCACTCAGGTATAAAAGTATTAAAGTAATTGCTGAGCTATATATGAATGCTGCTAACTCAGTTTGCTTATAGGCTGCCTCATTCTGTAGAACTAATTGTTCTTAGATTAATCTCATTTTAAGTGATAGACTGTTTCCTTTTAAGCTTAGAATCAATTAAGGCATCTTAAGGTTGTTATGGCAAAATTTCTCACTTTGATTCATGACAACTATACAGTGCCTCTGGGCTACTTCCATTATGTTTATATTACATTCTAGTCATTGCTTATTTGAAGTAGAGACACTTTACCTCATTTTGCAATCACATAATCAAAAACAAAACTGTTGTGTTGTAGAAATAACAATTCTTTTCTAAGGGCTATGTACATTTATCTCAGGGATAAAAGCGACTAATAAAAGTAATTGGCTCCTCTGCGATGATGATAATTTCCAGCCGAAGGTTTTTATGCACATTATAAACATTAATACAGCTTCCACTACCTTGTAAGGCAGGTGATATATTTTTCTCTATTTAATAAATAGAGAGTATTAAGCACAGAGAGTTCAAGTATGAAAGATTTTTGTGTCTGCAGAAATTTATGCTGAATTAATTTCTGATTTTATCTTATTTAATATTGAACTGAAGGCTGAAATTCGTACCAATTTTGATCGACTCTACAAAATGATGTCGAGGCATGAAGAATTCCGATGGATGACACTACGCATCAGACGAATGGCTAATGCTTGGATTGAAGCAATTAAGTCGCTTGCAGAAAAACAAAACCTGGAAAAAAGAAAACGTAAAAAGGTGACATGTTATTAGCTTCTCTTGGCACTAGAAATATTGCAGTCTTCTTTTTAAGTGTCCTCTTGTTCGTATATACTCTCTTCCAAAATATCTTTACTTCTTGGAATGATTCTCGCAGGTCTGTTATACTTTCAGAGTCAGACTTAGAACAACTGTTCTCACGCTTTCTTGGTAACAGAGAAAACATAGAGGTTACCAGAAGTGGAAACCTGGCTTTGAATTGACTGGCAAAAGCCTGGACGCTGAGGTGCTTTACCTTAATGGTGGGCGTTTTCACACTTTTTTTGTTTGGTGCCAGTGTTTTCCAGAAAGTTTTCCTGTTTTAGCAGGTGTGGAAAACATAAACCTGGGTAAATGTTCTAGTCTTTATCCTGTTATATAGAATCAGGTCAGATTCTAGTGCGGCTATCACTTCAATTTTTGCTAGTTTCTGTTTTGTGATTGTTAATGTTCAGGGTTAGAATGAGATGTTTTAAGCCAAAGAGGAATATAGCCCTTAGTCAAGGATGCAGGACCCCACCCTCCTCCCCCCCCCCCCCCCCCCCCCCCAAATCTCGTAGCTCTTTTCTGCTTGTCACATCTTTCAAGTCTGTAGGAGCAGACCCTGCATGCATGCTTGCATGCAACAAAAAAAGCCCCAGAATAGCTGGTTTAGCAGCCTAGTTATATGAGCACTAAGTATTAGTATCCTAATTTTAGTGCCTTTCACCAAAGGCAATATGGATCTAGAAACCTGCAAAGGAAAACTCTGCTCCAGGGGAGGTGGGGAGAAGGCTTCTTGTTACTCCCATACAACCATAAGTGATTGGTCTTTGTAGCTGTTAAGTAGCCCCAGGGAAAACTGCTCTATTATCTTTGGCCAGAGAGTTGAGTTAATGGAAGCTTCAAATGAGAGAGCTTCTTCCCAGAAAAAGAAGAAACTGTAAATGACCCTGGTGTTTGTAGCTCTATATATTTTTTGTCTTTTACAGGAATTGATTTTTGCATATCAATATGGTGAAATTGTCAGCTTCACTGAATGTGATGTGAGCTGGTAGCCTACATTTTGCATTACCCTCAGCTTCATACAAATTCTTGGGGGCCTCAAACATTAATTGGGCAAAAGCAGGCACTGCATAAAAAGAATCACATTTTTTCTCTGTATAAATGCCCATTTCCCCGCTTCCAAATGCATTCTTTCACTGTGTCATCCTGTTCTTTGGATTGTATTTGAGAATGTAACATTAATTCATCGTGATTGAACAACGGGAACCCTGGCACTATTTAATATGGGATTTTTTTTATGAAGAATATCTTGAAATGTTATCCTTCGCATTTTCAAAAAGTACTCCGGTGGCAGGCAGTAATAGTTCAAAATAAGACAGTAGCACTACAATATTGTTAAAAATCAAATTAGTTCTCTAGTTAAACTGGCTGAAAAATATCTCTGGGTTAGAATCTAAAGAGAGAAAGAAGGAACCAGCATAAATTATGTTAGATGCATGTTGATAATTTTTATTTATGATTCCTTTTCTTTTTTTCTTTCCAGATCCTGGTTCATTTAGGACTTTTGACAAAAGAATCTGGATTCAAGATTGCAGAGAATGCATTTAGTGGTGGCCCACTTGGTGAATTAGTCCAGTGGAGTGATTTAATTACATCTCTCTACTTACTGGGCCATGACATTAGGATTTCAGCTTCACTGGCAGAGCTCAAGGAGTAAGGAGATTTACTTTCAATTTTGAAACTAGAATACAAAAAAGAAATTGTAAACTCTTGAAGCCTCTATTAGCACAGTGTATAATTTCTGGAAGAGGAAAATGAAAATGATAACGCACTAAACAGTCGATAAGAAGATTACTTTCATGAGCTAAATATATACGCTGTGAAAAGGATAATGTATTTTCATTGTAGCTTCAGGCTCCTGAGACTTCATAACGGAATGCTGCAAGAATTCAAACTAAGCAGCTTATTTTTTACTAGTACAGGTGCTTTAAACATCTGCAGCAAGATGCATTAACTCTATGCCCTCTACTCCAATGTATGTTATTCCCTACTCAGCATCCAGCTTTTTATATTCTTTAAATAAATTAATTTTGAGGAAGTTAATGTCTCTGAAAATGCAAATTTGACCAAATATGAATATTTTAGTCTCCTTTGTTTTGTTTTTAGATTTTACACTACTTCTCTTATGTTCTTTGTAATGCACCTGTTGAAACTTTAACACTTGCAATTTTTTAACCTTTTGTTTTTGCATATACAATAAAATTATGTTCTGCTGAGTTCTTGTAAGTAAAAATGTTGATAACATATTAGAAAGGATAGCCCAAACTGTTTAAAAATATTTTAATGTGTAAATTACTATTCTGTCTATACTGTATCTCCATTTAGACTAGATAAATTGTTCAGTGAAAAGATTCCAATATAAAAAAGTCTTTGGTTTCCTATATATAATCCATTCTGTAGTAAATTTAAGGGTGTCCTACTGGCTTTCAGCACTAAGGCTCAAGATTTCTTATATGCAGTTACCACTTCTTTCAAGTTAGATAAAGCAGTGACCAATATGATTTTTTGAATGAGGATGGATTATCAATACAGATATTATTTCGCATGAATTCAGGAAATTTGATGGAAATATTTTTCCTTCTCTCTCCTTTTTACATAGGATTATGAAGAAGGTTGTAGGCAATAGATCTGGCTGCCCTACTCAGGGAGACAAAGTGGTAGAACTCATTTACATTGATATCGTGGGACTCACTCAATTTAAGAAAACCCTTGGTCCGTCATGGGTACATTACCAGTAAGTATTTATTTTTATCTGATCATTTGCATAAGCACTTTTACTAAGTACTTGGGTAGCATTTCCCAGCAGAAGATATAAAAAATGCACACTTGAATACTTTCTATGCTGAATTGTATTTATCTCAGAATGAAGCTCTTAAAAATAATTTTACATGCTCAGTGGTCTTTCATTGTTGTTAAGAGAGCAACATAATAGAGCCTTCCTTCACTTTCCTCTCTCAAACCATCTCTCTCTCCCTCCCTTAAAAGTTTCCGAGATAGCATATAGAAAATGCACGGCAGCATTTCCAGAGTAATATTTTATACTACTGAAATTGAATATCCCACTTCAGTCTACTGCTGTCACTGTCTCTGGCTGTTTCTCTTCCTCCCTCCCTCTCCTTCTGTTTACTTCCATAAGTTATTTGTTGCACACAGCTGAAAATTAGAGTTAGGTTTTTAGTCAAGATGCAGGTCAGCTTTTTTAATGTTAAAAAAATCATTGAGTCCACCTGAAAAATGTTGGACTGTGCTGGAAATTGAAGACCTCTCTTTAGCCTCATAAATAGTATTGCATGAACTGTAAAAATGCTGCCTTTTCCACACTGTGCCACCAGATTATCTCAACCCCAAGCTGTAAAGATCCATCTTTTGGAATGAGTGGTGACTTCACTTTTCACATCACTTTTTGTGACCCATTAAGTCTGATAAGGTTTTCAGTTGTGCTGACTTTTAAAACATTTGTCTCTTAGGAATGGAACTGAGGTCACAAAATAGTGTTTTGCATAACCTTTCTATTGTAGGCATTTTAGAGGCCTGTCCTCTTTCAAGCAACAATTTTAAGCCTACAGGTATATTGCCATCATTGCAAAATGTTTCTAATATAAAAAGAAATCTAAGCTTTTGACTTGAAGGTGATTTATACTCCTGACTGTTTCTAAAGTACGCCTAATCAAGTTTCAAATGCTCTGTGACCCATATGATCACAGTAAATCCTGTTATAATCATATAATAAGAAAAAGTAAGTTTAGCCCGTGTCCTGTCCTCAGGTTTTCTCTCAGAAGTTCTATCTTTTCCAGCATAGTTTAAGACTCTCAAGATCAGGCTTTCAGATTAAAGAATTTTCTCCTAGACACTTTAGAGAAAAGGAATATTTTTTTTTTGGCAGCATACTAATAAATCTAATCTCCTTCCCACTGAATTTTTTTGGTTGTCTTTCAGCTAGATACACTTCTGTCATTGTGCAAATGTTGCCGTTAGGACCTAATCTCATGGACAGAAAAACTTATTTATAAAAGGAAATTCCCACTGCCCCCCCCCTCCCTTTTTTTTTTTTTTCTTTCAATTTCCTATCTGGCATGCTTTCTAATGCTAAGATGGAAATGTAGCAAGGCACCAGCATTATTTGATTAGTTTTTCCATTTTTCCTGCTCATTTCATGAATCATTAAATCTTCAAATGTCAATCTATTTTTCATTTTTTCCTAATTTCTGGTAATGGCTGATTTTTTTTTTCCTTATTACTTAAAATGAATTATTCCAATATAAAATCAGTTTCCATGTTTTTGTTAAGTGTATTCCTGGAAAATGAACACTATCATAATTGGAGCTGGTGTTATTGTCATTGTTTCTTTACTGATTGTTTTCTTCACTTAGTAATATTTAGACTCTTCAACATGAGCAGGTTTTTTTTGATAGAAAAGTGAAGAAAGCTTCTGAACTTGCATGCATTTGCTTTATACCAGTTACAGTCCCTAAGATGGTATAAGCTGGCTAATTTAGCCAGTTTGTACAGACTAACCTGGGGATAATATTAAATTCAAACTTGGTATTTATTTCAGATTGGAACAGAATGTTAGAATAAAACTTTGCTTTCAAAACACCTTTTCATTACTAACTGCCATGTCATCTTAGTGAGAGCAAGAGCTCAAATGAGGTTACTGATAATAACAAATTAAGTGCCTGGAGTTTAAAAATAAATCTACTGTTGATTTTTTTTTTTTTTGGAACAAACTCAATCCTGGTTTGTGTGTTTATGATGACCATAGCACTAGAAACATTGGTAATAAATGCTCTACCTCTGATAGGCCCTTTGGTGTAGATGTGAATGCACCAGAACTGATTTAAAACATGCTATACTTAAAAATCAAAAAGATGAACTGCCTGGACCATCAAGTCAGGAGTTAAATATATACATCTTTGTGCAAATCTGTAAAAAAAAAAACAAAAACAAAAAAAACCAAAAAAAAAACCAAAAAAAAACCACCAAAAAACAAAACAAAACCCAAGTCATATTGGGGTTTGATAAGACTCTGATAAGATACTTCAAAAATATAGTTTGAATGGGTACAGCTGCTTTGCCTTTATAAAGATGCACTTCTTCCATTCAGTAGGTCAGTATCCAGCACATTTTACCTTTTCCCACATCTCTCCATTGATTCATTCTGTGTCAACCATCCAAGGCAAGATATAAACATGACTGGAATTATGCAAGACTAGTATTGTGCAAACCTAGCGGCCTTCTTCCTTCTCTTATCCTGTATATAAAGAAGCCCTTAAACACCCATTTAGGATTATGTTTTCTTAGTTATATTTTAACATTAGACATGCAGGGGATTTATACTAGAATAATCTTTGTTTGCTGACAACAAATATTAGCAAAAGTGCTGATGATGGAAGATGTTGCCAATACAAACACAGTCAAATTCTAAGCACTAGCTACTCAAAATGTAACTTCAGGTAGGAGAATTTGAATAAATATATAAAAATATCCTTTTTATGATGAAAAATTATTACGACAATTTGGAAGTCCAGTATTTGTGAGGATTGATCAAACTTTTTTTTTCAAGAGAATAACTGTGTCCAGTCATCATGATCTCTCCTTATGCCAGAAAATTCATGCATCATTTCTTACTTTTTGTGAGACAGATAATGTTTGTATTCACAATTTAGTTTTTAAATCAGGCAGGTTTATAGTAGCCTGTATATTGATGGAAGAGGTGCTTCTGCCACAATTGAGTATCAGGAAGTATAATAGTGGTATAGTAAGAAGCAGGAGACACAATTTTTGGTCTTTATTTTGATATCTGTCTGGATATAGTGAATCCTGAAAAGATGGTTTCAAAAACAGTAAATATATATACAAAATTCTTTGTTCATTTTTAGAACTCTGCTTTTTTTGGAAAAGGAGAGATTCCACTATCTCATTTTAAATAAAATCCATTAAAACTTGGTAGCACGTAGCATAACCTTATCAGCCTTAGAGCAATTCAGAGGTGCTCTCTAATTGTTTGAATATCTGATAGCTAGAGCTGAGTGCATTTTTTCATCAAATACTAAATTCCCTGATAAGCAGAGTTTCAGGAGGACTGAAACTGTCCACAAACTCAAATTGAATTAGAAAATACTTTTGGCTAAAAAAAAAAAAATGATGGGGGGAGGGACCAAAGATATTAGAACATTTTTTTAAATGTTAAAAAATTCATTTTGAAAAAAATTTGGAAAACACTAAATCATCTCATTTCTAAGTGAGGTTTTCATTAAAATATTTTAAAACATTAACCGAAATTGAAAAAAAAAGTATAAAAGCTGGTTAAGCAACTTAAAGGTAACAATATTTAAGTTTGGGTTAAATTTAAATGTTTATTTCATTTTGGGTCAACACAAAATAAGTTGACTCAAGTTGCCCAGATTCCCTGTTGCATCTCATAGTTCAGATTCCTTCCTCTATGCCTCTGGCATCATATTATGGCAATTTGTTGTTGCTGCACAAATTTCCAGTTTTCTCTACCCACTTGCTTGCTCTCTCATGCTTTCTCTGTCCTTCCCCTGTTTCTCAATCCCACATCCTGTATTCGAGTAAACATGTATTTATATTTCTTTGCTCCCTGGGTAGTTTTCTCCCTGGTTAGATCCTGTTGCAGCCTCCATTATGTTTGCCCCTTTCTCATTCTGCTGCTTCGGAGAGACTTTCAGAGAATTTTTACAGTTGCAAATCTAGCTCTGTGTATCACCTTGAACAGTTGGCACGCTGTAAATCTAATACCAGGGGCAGGCAAAATATGGCCCGCAGGCCAGATCCGGCTCACCAGGCCGTTCTGCCTGGCCTGCAGGGCCCTTAAAAAAATTAGTAAATTAATATTTATTTGCTCCTGGCTGGCTGTCAAACTAGGACCCAGGGGGAGCCCTCAGCAGGACTGAGCAGCTGAGCCCTGCCCCACCCCTGCCATTTCACTCCCTTCCTGCCCCCGCCCTGCTCCGGCACCACGTGGTTTCTGGCTCCATCGCCGGACTAGGAGCATGGGGCCACGCCGGTACGTGTGTTTTTAGGAAAGGGCAATGTGTGTGTGTGTGTGTGTGTGTGTGTGTGTGTGTGTGTTTATAGGGCGAGTCCCACGTATACCCCACAATACACGTGCACCCACACCCCCCTCGCACTGCCATACACGCAGACCCCCACACCCCACATATCCACACCCACAACCCTCCACAAACCTATATGCACCCCCACAATATACAAGACTAAGAATTCATTTTAAGCTATTGTGCAATCACCTTTATGCACCCTGAACAAACGCACGTAAATCAGGACAAACATATTTTTTGAAATAAAATTAATGCATGCTGTAGATGTTTGCTTTTTACAGTATAATTTGGTATTTTTCTGGTTCCAAGATGGCAAGACCCCTTGCTGAAAGGAGTGCTTCCAGAGGCAAGGGGAGGGACTTCTGGTGGCAGAGGTCAGGGATTAGGACTTACAGTCACAAGATGGCAACCAAGGGGTGGGGCACCTGTCAAGGGGCTACCCATGTGGCCCTCGACAGCTTGCCAAAACTCAGTAAGCAGCCCTCCCCCCAAAATAATTGCCTGCTCCTGCTTAATACACTGGGAATGTACTTAAAATGCAAAAGCCAGGCACACAAGTTACACTTCTGATGTGGTAAGCATGTAGAAAGTACTCTACAGCCATAACCAGACAGATAGTCAGGGCACATAGGGCACTATAAAAATGGCAGATCCC